TTTACACATATTATACACAGCCTATGAAACTCTGAAAAGCAAACAACAATTAAAAATTTACTTTCACAAGTCACAAAAATCTCGAGGGACGTCGCAAAAATCATCTCAGTGTCATAGAACACGTTTTGTACCAGAAACATAATCCGCTCAACGAACGGAGTACCTACAATAACTGAATGGTGCAAAGAATTTTCTCCGTTGGGACGTTAACGAACTTATACTTGTATTTTCCTTTAGACGAGCGATGTCTATGTTGCAACAGAAATATTGGAAATTGAATGTTGTTATTTTTGTCAAAATGGAATACAGTATACGATATCTGTTCCATAATTTGTCTAAATGTCGTAGCTTAGAAGTATTGAAGGAGTAAAGTAGTGTTTAGTAGGTTTCACACTTTTAATGTCCACTTACTATATGTACATACTGAGTATGATGCAGAATCTGCCCTGAGATTACACTTGTAATAAGTATCGTATGCATCGTATGTATGGATTACACTTGTAAAAAGTATCATAATCTCAAACACTTTTTTAATACTTTCACCTAATTTCCTAAAAGTTTTCAAATACTTATAAATGCTCCTTTTAAATTTACTCGGTGGCAATGGTGAATGTGCTGTAAAGCAGGTTTATTTCGAGTTTAAAAGTTCTAATCTATACAAAATTAGAAATTTGCTGACGGATTTGAAAAATAGTGGTTTCTCGATAAAGTTAAATTGCTCATATGATACAGGCAGGCAAATTTTTAAAGTGTTTTTTATTTCATACAAAATATTCATAATCCAGAACATCGTAAATATGTAAGAGTACAGAAAACAAACAAATATATAAGTCGCAATTAATACCAGAAGCACGCTGCCAAACAGTCTGAACTAAGCAAACATTCCGTACATTCGGTACCTAAGTCTAGCGCAGTAAAATATTTGCTCAGACACACAATTCTTGAGAGTACTGCGCATTAAATATACGGATTACATTACAATGCTCACAGACATGGACATTATGTGCCATGCCTTGAACAATGTTTATTTTCCCACGCCTCCAAAGAAAGCTACTTGGATAAATATCATGACGAAATTTTGCGACCATTTCTAGTCGTACTAGAGTTTTGAGTAGAATTTATTAATAAGGACTGGTCAATTGATAATCATTCGTATTTTAAGCGGTCGGTGGCGCCACCATTCGTGCTTCCAAAAGCAGGTAACATTTCTAAATGTATTCAATTATGACATTAAATGAAAAAAATGTCAATGCTCACCCGGAACAGGCGCTTTTCAAACATGATAATGTGGTTTCGAAAACTGGCGAAAAAGTATCAATGTTACAATTTCAATATTAGATGTACTGTCTAAAATTTAGGTACAACAACAAAAACTCAAAAAAAAAATCGTTGCAAACCTAGTCTTAAAACTGCTACCGATAAAACCAGTCTTGGCAGCACTGTAACTGAAAATCAGAAACTACATTGTACTCTATTGTACTCATCAAATGACACTTGACTTTGACACCGTTATAAGAAGCTGCTTTACATAATGTTTGAAACCTTCAAACGCTTAGTTTGTTTGTTCATCTCCGTACCAACATAACTCACGTGCCAGGCACAGAGCTATCTCATAGACGCAATGACGTCACAACTAGCAAGCCCAACTATTCGCTGTAACGGATCCACTTATACAATACACGAGCATAACTTACATTGTATTCGAACATTAATTAACCTTCGTAATGTGATGTATGGATGTGGTAATTGGAATATATAACTTTGATACCCCGAAATGTCCGATTACATATGTGCATATAAGATGGGCTTGGATAAACTACTGATAGTAGTTATGGTGATGAATAGAACTTAAAACCATTAATTACGTAATAAGTAACGGTGTGGATAGTATAATTTGTCAAATATATTAATACAAAATATACAGCCATGGGTTCTGGAAGGGGATTTTTAGGATCTTCTCCAACCTTGGGTAAGAAAAGAGGGAGTGTCAGACTCTTACTGACTAGTGACTACCCGTTCCTTTTCCTGCTACATTATTGGGTTTGAACTCGCAGCCCGACTGGACACTCAGGATGGGTTGTCATCTTAAATAATATGTATAATATCTTACCCGGTGAATTTATTGTTACAACAAGTGTGGGAGAGCCAAGCTTCGGCACGAATGGGTCGGCTCGACCGGAGTGATACCACGGCCTCACAGAATACCGGCGTGAAACAACCCACAGCGTTGTGTTTCACCGTGTGAGTGAGGTTACCGGAGGCCCAATCCCTTCCCAATCCTTATATTCGCAACCCCCATCCCCAAAAGGCCGGCAACGCACTCGTAACTTCTTTGGTGTTGCGGGTGTCCATGGGCGGCGCCGATTGCTTACCATCAGGTAATCCGTCTGCTCGTTTGCCGACTTATACCATAAAAAAAAAAAAAACAATGTTACTCCCCATACTATAACCATGTATCTGTTTGTATATAGTATATCTCATCTAACAAATCATGCAGATCGGTGGTTTATAACAGTAATAAAGGCTATAATGACAAAATGATATACTTAAATAAAACGATATAATGACGCTACTATACACATTACACACTTCCCACACAAACCACGATCCAAGTTAATAACGGGTGCATAGCAGACGTCATTATGAGGCTTGCTGACGCACTATGAATGCGAATCATATACCATTAGCGTCTCGAGCTGAAGATGAAATGCATTGCTGCTATTTGTCACGTAGAAGGCGTTCTGCATTACGCATAGACTCAGGACTGAAAATTTAATTCAAAGTTTAATTTTCTACTTATCCATTCATAAGTCATTATGTTTATTTATGATCCACTTATTTTATTCCTGTTTGATGCAGTGACAGACTGTACTTTACGGGTTTCTACTTGACATATTCATGGTCACAACCGTTTGTCATTTCTCTTCATAAAGCCTATGAGAAAACCGCCAAATGCCCTTTAGATGCCCAAAAAGGCCAGCTTGACCACGATATAATCCCGGTCTCAAGTAGTTGTTAGACAAAAACTCTAAAAAAACTTATTTCACGCTACCAAAGCAACGAAAGTTCATAAGAACAAAGACAATTTTCTTTGATTTATTCTCTAGGTCTCTTTTTTATTCTTTGAAGTATGTTTTAAACGACTCTTTTTGTTTTCCTTATAACTTTTTAATGAATCTGACATGTCATTGAAGATAAAAAATCGTTGGAGAGTCAAGTCAAGTAATCTTGAGAATTTAATGTAGCGTCCGCGACCGCCTTTTGCTCACTTCAACACTTGAAATGCTTCACTGATGTCGAACATTCTGAAACTAGGCTAAAGACTGTCAACGAGCCTTGTCAACGAGATCTGACACTATTCGATGAAATGACCTACTAAACTATTACAATGTCATGTTTTATTTTATTTCTAATCAAAACCTCAAATGGTCGGAAAGCACTTTATCGTTGCGGTAACTCATGATGTTCCATTTTATTTCCGCTCTGATTTATAAAGCCATTGGCGGTTTTATATTGTTGAAATGGTAGTCATCAAAAACGCTCCGAGTGTCTCCATTTACACTGTGCTTCGTGGAATTGGCCTCATATTTTACATATAAACAGATCGCAGTTCGAGTTGACGCATGTGTGAAACGTTAAACCTTTGAAGATAATTCAGACTCAATTAAAGTCACTGTTATGTTACAACTTAAATGTTAAAATAAATCACAGCCAAAAAACATATGTCAATCAAATTATTAATAAAACTGGATGTGTATTTTACAGTGCAAAAATATAAAAATAATAAAAATGCAGTAATCAAATAACTCAACTCGTATTTACTAAATAAAAGGAATATTTTCTAAATACTATCCAAAAAAAATGTTTGCATTACTCCGAGCGATTCCGAGAATCAGGGACGAACAAAAAATATGCGATGTTTATTTTCCCGTATTTTGGAATACACTGATGAAATGGGAAAAATATTACTCTTATTTTTATACACACATGGACTCGCAGTGAAGCAATTTCTGGCATCAACATTTTCATTTTCTCGGACCAATTCACTGCATGCGAGACAAGCGATTTTTAACAACTGAAATTATGGTGAGCATAATTAAACTGTCGAAAAATAAATAACAGGTTCGTTTAGTACTCAAGTTTTATTTTCTTTGTAACATATGACTTCACAACTGTTGGCTGCTGCCGACTATATTAATTAGGCCAAGTCAAACGTCGAACGACCGAATTTACGGCAATATAGAAGTATGTTGATGAATAAATATATGTATGGACAATGTAATATTTTGCACAAACTCGGCTTTTTATTAAAATATGTCAATTTTATTGGTAGGTATGTCCCACAATTGTAAAAAAACGTATGTCTGAACAATAAAAAAAAAACAAAACTAAGATATTGCCAAATTACAACATCCAAATAAATCCAAATTACATTATTTTTTCTTCGATAATCATTTCGCTTTGGGGCTGATTTTTCAATAGTTATAAAAATGTTATGTAAGGCATAAAATTGTTGCTGTTATTGTCTTACACAAGGATTCTGACGCGACAGCATAATTTTTTTTTACCATTGAAAAATCTGACCTACCTCTTATTTATCGTCATTTCTTCAAATACTACACGTGAAATAACAAAAAAGGTCATTATTTTTACACTGTTCTAATATCCTTTAAATAAAATGTTCTGAAATGGCCTCCCATAATTTTTTTGATCCCATTCGATTTAAGTATAAATCGAATTGGATCAAAAAAATTATCACCAAGAACACCGTCCTTTACTGTAAGTACACTAAAACACGTTTCTACCAAAAAGGATTTACCTAAATCAAACTGGCAATTTCTAAAGACAGTTGAACTACTGCCAGATACATAGAGTGTGATAAATATAGGCAAAGCAAGAGCAAGATGTTATAAATTGTCAAATACATATGCATGTTTTTTTCGAAGTAATTTTTAATGTAAATTATTTTATACCGTTTAAAATATTAGCATCCTAGAAATATGATCACCACCGGAAAATTGATTGCTCGAAATACAGGTTCATTGATAAAACGAACGGCCAGTGACCGAGGAAGGGTTTTCGCGCGGATGATACGAGTAGGTGAAACACTACCAGACGGTGTACTATTTGAAGATCATCCTACAAATCCAATAAAAATGAGTGACCTCTTAGTGGACAGAAATGTTGTGATGTTCGCAGTACCCGGTGCTTTTACTCCAGGCTGCTCCAGAATCCACTTACCAGGGTACATAAATACAGCTGGTGAAATGAAGAGTGAAGGTGTCCATGAAATAATTTGCGTTTCAGTGAATGATCCTTATGTGATGGCAGCTTGGGCGGAAAAGAACCACACAAAGGGAAAAATACGTATGTTAGCAGACCCTAGCGGTGAATTTATTCAAGCGATTGGCCTCGGCATGAATATCTCCGCTCTAGGAGGGTACCGTTCGAAGCGCTTCTCCATGTATATCATCAACAATGAAGTTAAAGAATTAAACATTGAACCTGATGGCACTGCATTATCTTGTTCTCTCGCTTCCAGACTCGAATACAAGAAATACTCTAATAAAAAGGAAAAGAAAGAAGATGAAACATCGAACCAAGATTGACAAAGTTATTAGCAAACTTGGATGTACTTAGCTCACGATGGTAAATTACATCAGTTTCAGTGGTTATTTATGAAAATCTGTGCTCACCGTGGTTTGGGCTTATTATAATTTTTGCTCAATCGGTCATTATTTACTGCATACACAAGTAAATAACGTAAGAAGTATAATCTAAATTGTCTTTTTTTATTAATTTCTTAAATCTTATTGGAGCTGTTAATATTCTGGCTGTTATACACATAATCTTTATGAAGGTAATGAAGATGAAATAATTATAGAAATGTATTTATATAAAAAAATAACCATATATACATGTCACGCCTTTTATTTAGACTGCAGCAAAAACAAGCTGTGTGTTTCTGAGTCCTTACCTGATAGTAAACAATCAGCACCGCCCATGTAACGCTAGAGGAGTCGCAAATGCGTTCCGATCATTTAGGAATAAGGAATTTTAGAGATTGAGGGGATTGGATTAGGCCATTGATTACCTCTTACACGGCGAAACAAAACGCTAATAAAAATCGAACCGAACGAACAAATAACGTGTTGCAATAATATATATTTTATACAACAAAATTGGTTTAGAAAAGAGAGAACAAGAACTGAAATATAATTTAATATTCAAGAACTGGTCAGTTTCCCAGAGATTTTCAAAAGTCAGTGTCAGGAAGAAAGACGAGGTAGGTAGGTAGGTAGTAAAATATTCTGTTTGCGCTATAAATAGCTCTGACTTCACCAGCGCCAGACTTCGAGTTACTGATGCCTTGTACTTTAAAATTCAAATCACTCTCTAGCCTTCTTAACGACTGCCGTGATTTATTATTTAGATGAGCGACAGCCGAAGGGTAACTGATTATTCTTGTCTCTTTTGTAAAATTCATTGTCTTATGAACCTTTATTGGAAACAACCTGACTGTTAGCTATTTTCTGTTTTGTTTAACCTTGGCTCGACTTGGAAACTGACGTCATAGCATCCACGACATTTTATTGTAATTTTAATTAGTACATAATGTATTCCTATTTGGAATTTCTTCCTGCAGACCTGTGACAGCAAAAAAGAGCATATAATAAAATAAAATGTCAAAAAAAAGAATCGTAAAATTATAATAATCAACTAAAAAGAAATAAATAAGAATACCCATATACGATGATTCTTTAAACATATTATATTTTCCTAGTGTACGTAGTCAGTAGATACGGAATACGAAATCCGGAGATAGAAACAATCTAAATATAATTTCAAAAACAATTATCAGCATCAGCCGCCGTTCCTCGCCTTTCAAAATGTTTGTTCAACAGTCAATTCTAAATTTCAAATTAGCTCCTGCTGTTGTAGGCAGGAAATATTTTAGTAGGAAATGTCTTACATACCTAATAGATTCAAAACATTTTAGAGCAATGAACTTAGAAAATAAAATAAACGTGAGCATACATCATACATTTCATATCTCAATGGAAAATTAAAGTGCACATACATTGTGCTATTGCTGAGAATGTTGGCATAAAAACTCAACAGTAAGTAACAAACTCAATAATCAATCGTCGTTCCCAAAAACTTCCCTTAACCCCTCGTGAGAAACAAGAAGTAACGTTTCGTAATATTTCTACATCATTTGATTTCAAAGGAACCATTTATTCCATCCGAAATGCTAAGAATGTTTTATAAAAGTAAAACAAGTGTCTGAAATTTAGCAATGACTTGACTTTTATATCCCTGGCGGTCGTCGAGTTACAAAAGGCTTTGCACGACACTCCGACGCACCCTTGTCGCGCGAGACAGCGACGTGACAACGTCACGCCTAGTATCTACCGACCGGGACCACACACAGCTTTCTTTGTTATCTAAAGAAAGAAAGAAAGAAAGAAAAATCATTTATTCGGTACAACACCAGGCACAAACTATACAATGCAAACAAAATAACTATGAATAAAAAAAATCAAAAAAAGAGCACAAAAATATGTAGATGTAGGTAGGATATACAAAAAAACTCCAATGTTAAATACATTAATAACAGTGTTGTGCCCGATAGCTGCGCCAAAAAGGTCCAGTTCAGCATAAATGCCAGACATAGTGCCTGACGCTGATTTTCAACTGAACCTGTGGCTGTGACGCAACGGACGTAAAGCAGTTATAAGCGTGTGAATATAAATGTAATTTTTATGTAAATATAATAAATACTTATACCATCATACATTATACATAAACATATAATAATAGGGTATAACAATTAGGCGGAATGTATTAAATATGATAAAATTATATAGCGTGTGCATACATACTCATAAATAGAAAACTCGGGTACATTATATAATTGAGACATTTTGCACCACCATGTCAAGCCCTCGCTGTGTATCGATCAGGTATTTTCGCAAGCGTCTTCTAAACGTATCTAATGTATTACTCGATCTGATAGGCGGTGGGAGATTATTCCACACTTTGGAAGCCGCATAGCGAAAGCTGCCTCTAAAAACGGCTGTACCACATGACCTGGTTGTGAGTTGCTGTGAGCATTGCCTTCTTCCACATTCCCGCCGGACCGTAAGCCATTTCAGTTTTTTAAATAAGTAGTCCGGTTTCTGATATTTAACTACACCAAACAAAAGGCAAGCTAGATGCAGTTTGCGTCTTGATTTCATCTTAAGTACAAAATGTTCGTTCAGATATGGCGTTACATGCGTTCTACGAGGAATGTTGTAACAGAAACGAGCGCAAGCACTTTGGACCCTTTGGATGAGCCGATCGGTACGTGCTAACAGGCGTGGACCATACACTGTGTCTACGTAGTTTAGTCTAGAAAGAACTAAGGTCTCTATCAGCTGCTCCCGCAATGCCACTGACAGGTATGCTCGCATCCTATATAAAACCTTCAGGCGATAGAAACAATTTCTAACACAGTCTGCCACATGTCTTTCAAACCGCAAATCTTTATCCATTATCAGTCCCAAATTTTTTGCCACATACACTCGCTCAATCTGTGCGCCCATCAATCTCAGGTCAAATGACGGAGGTAGCTTAGCCAGCTGCTGTCTTGAGCCAAATACCAAATATTTGGTTTTTTTTGGATTCAATGACAAGCAGTGCTCTTCAGACCAGGTGGCAATTGCATGGAGGTCATCGTTAAGATCCTTAATGGCATCATGGTATTCATCTGGACGGAAAGACATATAAACCTGGACATCATCGGCGTATATGTGGTATTTACATTTATGGATGCATTTAATTATATCTGCACAGTACAGTATAAAAATAATCGGACCCAAAATGGAGCCCTGAGGGACTCCTCTCTCTATTGACATATAAGACGATCTTAGAGTAGTGCCATCACTCAAACGCAAATCAACAAACTGCTTCCTATTTGTGAGGTAGCTGCGGAACCACTGCACGGCACCAGGATCAAAACCGTAATAACTTAACTTGGATAATAATAGGGGAATATTGATTGCATCAAATGCGCGAGAAAAATCCAGCAAGACGAGTACTGTACACATTCCCTGGTCCTGAGCTGCCAGAATATTATCTGTAACGTCTAGCAAAGCAGTAGACGTACTGCGTTGTCTCCTAAACCCAGATTGTAAGTCAGGAAGAATATTATGTTGTTCCAAAAATTGAATTAACTGTTGACTAACGACTTTTTCCAACAGCTTGGACAGACACGGCAATATGCTAATAGGACGTAGATCTTTTAATTCGGTTGGGTTAGAAATTTTCGGTAACGGCCTAACTGAAGCAATTTTCCATTGCTCGGGAACCGTTGAAGTCTCTATGGAACAGTTAATTATTTGAGTAATAACGCTTAATGAGTGCGGTAATGTCATATTTATCATATCCAAAGTGATATTGTCGTGGCCCTCAGCGTTACTCTTAAGATTTGTGACAATTCGTGAGATGACATTCGGTTCCACTGAAGAGATAGAGAAAGTAGCTGCACCGTATTTATTTTTCTCATAAAACGTCACCAACGACTCGTTGGCCGTAGGACTACCGGGTACTATCAAAAAATTTTTATTTATTTGGTCAGGATTTGTAAATTGTGATGGTAGATCTTGAATAGTTTTGAACGGCAACAAAGTGGATTTCAAATTTTTCCATAACAATTTTGGGTTTTTAATTTTATTATTTATATTATGCTTGAAGTACGCCACTTTTTCACTATGCAATGACTTACTTACTAGGCGCTTTAGTTCCTTATAGTATTTTATTTTAGACTCTATTTTATTTTTCCTACACGCACTTAGTGCATCGTCACGTAAACGCATCATAAGTTTTATAGTGTCAGTAACCCAAGGATATGATTTCTCCCTAATCGTGCAAGACCTTACCGGCGCGTGAGCATCAAACAAGGCGATCATTTTGGTGTTAAAGACATGAACCATGTCATTAACGTCGTCTAATAAGGATATGCACTCCAGGCCTAAAAGTGATAAGTCCTTGTTAAACCTTTCCATGCAAACATCTTTAAGAGGCCGAAATTTTACCAAGTATGGTTTGAATTTATCCCGCTTAATATGGAATTCACCTACTACAATAGAATGGCCATAAAGAGAATTAAGTGGTTCCACGGATACAAACCTTGCCATCATATCCGAGCAAAGAAGATCGATGAGAGTTTCGCTGGATGATGTGAAATGTGTGGGACTAGAGACCAGCTGCGTGAGATTGAAACAATTAAGAAATTCGTTAATTTTATTTGTTTTTATGCTAGCAGTATCCAGTAAATTAACATTAAAATCGCCAAGCAGAACGTAGTGATCGCAGTTTCCCAGTGAACTGATACAATCCGTTATGGCATCCAAAAACAGGACCAGGTCAAGCCAAGGCGGTCGATATGCCGTACCCACAGCGATTTTTTTCCCGTTCAATGTCAGTGTCAGCCACATTTGTTCAACCGATTCGAACCTGGGATCAACCGCCGCAGTATAAATACGCGCGCTCAGTCCCCGACGCAGATAAAAAGCGACCCCACCACCGCGACCCGAGCGCACACTCACTGGCCGCGGCGTGT